CTTCATCCTGATCTTAATATTAATCCTGATCCAGATATCTTTACTTTTATCATCCTCCTGAACCTTTCTCCCTCCTCTTCAACTCTTCTCCCTCCTCCTGAACCTTTCTCCCTCCTCTTCAACTCTTCTCCCTCCTCCTGAACCTTTCTCTCTCCTCCTGAACCTTTCTCCCTCCTCCTGAACCTTTCTCCCTCCTCCTGAACCTTTCTCCCTCCTCCTGAACCTTTCTCCCTCCTCCTGAACCTTTCTCCCTCCTCCTGAACTTTTCTGCCTCCTCCTAAACCTTTCTGCCTACTCCTGAACCTTTATCCCTCCTTCTGAACCTTTCTCCCTTCTCCTGAACCTTTCCCCCTCCTCCTGAACCTTTCTCCCTCCTCCTGAACCTTTCTTCCTCCTCCTGAACCTTTCTCTCCTCCTGAACCTTTCTCCCTCCTCCTGAACCCTTCCTCCTCCTCCTGAACATTTCTTCCTCCTGAACCTTTCTCCCTCCTTCTGTACCCTTCCCCCTCCTCCTGATCATTTCTTCCTCCTCCTGAACCTTTCTCCCTCTTCCTTAACCTTTCTCCCTGCTTCTGAACGTTTTTTCCTTCCTCGCCCAACCCCGTAATCTCTTCATCTTTTACTATCTTCCTATCTTCCTGTGTCTCTAAACATAATTCAAGATCTTTTTCTCATTCAGGTCAAAATCTTTCCCGCTCTAGTTTGTTTCAAACTATGATAATTCTCTAGAGATGGGCAAGTTTTTTTACAATATATATGGTTTGCTATTTACAGTTTTAGATTTTTTTTTTCTGATAAAAAGACTCATTTTACCAAGTACCACTAACTTACCTTCCGTTCGTTAACATTAACGAGCCCATCTCTAGTTGAATGTGACGGAATTTTATTGATAACTAGCCCATCTCTATTTAAATCTAGAATCTAGCGGAATATTAAAAGTAATGAGCTCATCTCTGGTAGAATCTTGCGGAATATAAACGGAAATGAGCCCATCTCTAGTTGAATCTAGCAGAATATAAACTTTAAAGAACCCATCTCTAGTTGAACTTGACGGAATTTTATTGATAACTAGCCCATCTCTATTTAAATCTAGCGGAATATTAACGGTGACGAACCCATCTCTAGTTGAATCTAGCGGAATATTAAATGTAACGAATCTTGCGGAATATTAACTGCAATAAGCCCATCTCTAGTTGAATCTAGCAGAATGTTAACGGTGACGAACCCATCTCTAGTTGAATCGGACGAAATTTTATTGATAACTAGCCCATCTCTATTTAAATCTAGCAGAATATAAACGGTGACGAGTCCATCTCTAGTTGAATCTAGCGGGATATTAAAGGCATTGAGCCCATCTCTAGTTGAATCTAGCAGAATATAAACGGTGACGAGCCAATCTCTAATTAAATCTAGCGGGATATTAAAGATAACGAGCTCATCTCTAGTAAAATCTAGCGGAATATTAACGGTAATGAGCCCATCTGCAGTTGAATCTAGCGGAAAATTAATAGTAACGAGCCCATCTCTAGTTGAATCTAGCGGAATATTAACGGTGACGAGCCCATCTCTAGTTTAATCTAGCGGAATGTTAACGGTGACGAGCCTATCTCTAGTTGAATCTAGCGAAATATTAACTGCAATGAGCCCATCTCTAGTTGAATCTAGCGGAATGTTAACTGCAATGAGCCCATCTCTAGTTGAATCTAGCGGAATGTTAACTTATCTATCTATCTATCTATCTATCTATCTATCTATCTATCTATCTATCTATCTATCTATCTATCTATCTATCTATCTATATATCTATCTATATATATATCTATCTATCTTCTCCTGAACTAAGTACTGATTAATTACTTTTATATTAACTGTGGTAGATTTGCAGTGATGAGGTAGTTTAACTGAAACCTATGTCACTTTAAGTACCAACTTATAAAAGTACCAAACTCCGGTTTTCAGGCTCCTCTGGGATATCGTCGCTTTCAGATTGGTTGTTCATTTGATGAATATGATCTGGTTAAAACTTAGAATCTTATACCAAATCTCACGAGACAAGAACACCAGATAGAACTCTTATAGGTCTCGATCAACTACTAAAATATTCAGGTTTCAGCCTATACACCCTTTCATTTTTCCTTTCAGGTTTCAGCCTATACACCCTTTCATTTTTCCTTTACATGTCCCTTTAAAAGCGTTATGAAACCAAGGAATTAGGAATTTGTATGCTTGGATTGGACACAAATGCAGCAAGCAGAAGAATAAAGTAACCCAGTTAGTATTTAGTGTATAAATGGAAAGTGGATGTGGGGGGTGGGGGGGAGTGTTATCATATTTTTTAACTCAAGACTTTTCTGATAACCCCCTCCCCCCCCCACGTCTGATTCACTTTCATTATTCGTTGTTTAAACGCTTACACGGTAACTATGTATATTATACCACATGTTGAACATTGATATCTATCTATGCACCTATACCACCATTTCATCTATCTATCTATCTATTTGACCGGTTTAACAGATGGTTTCATTTCTAAATATATTTCAAGTTTTCACTTTCAATCGTACTACGTTAACCCTTAACACGAAGAAGCATCATATGCTTATATTTTTCCATTAAATTAAATGAAATCAAAATCTAATCGTTTCATTTGAAGCTTAAGCTCCTTTGCTCAACTTGAAGAAATCAGATAATATATATTATTCTTGAAATTCTAATAACAAATATTGCAATTTAATTAAAATCTTAATTTTGAAAAAATTCTGCGTTTGATATTCGCTCCGGTGGACCGGGAGGCCACCGAAGAGAAATCATTTCCTTAACCTGTTATCGAAAAGCTTAAAGGCAAAAGTTTAAGTATATATAGAAGTAAAGTAAATGTCAAGTTTTGTACAGGATATCCGAGTTCAATTCCAGTTCTACTGCCGCGTTTAATAAACCCTAGGCGTCAATATACGTTTATCTTCTTTAATGGGTTTACAGAATACTTAAAAGGACATTTTAAAGGTCTCTTAGATCAAGACAAAATACAACTCCATTTCCGATCGATTATCATCATAGTTCGCCATCTATAAACACTAGGCTTTAAAAGCGCTTTGCGTTTATCTTCCATTTCAATTGTGAACATTTTCTCTCTGTATACATCCTGAAACAGATCAAACAACAAATTTCTTGGATTTAATAAAACATTTCGTGGATTTTCAACATTTTCAAAAATCGAATTTTGACGGAGGCAAATTTTTTGAAAATTAGATCAACCATAAACCTTCCCCGGGGTCACGTGAAGCCCCACACCAATTTTGAATCCGATCGGTTCAGCCGTTTTTACGTTTATTGGATACAAACAAACAAACAGACACCCAGACAAGCAAAATATACATAGAGATACTTTTCTTGTCTATTTGCCGTCTGTTTGTTTCCAATAAATGTCAAAACGGCTGAACTGATTGGGCCCAACTTTTTTGTAGGACCTCACAACCACTGCACAGGAAAGGTTTATGAATGCTCAGAAATTTTAAAATTTTAGATATTTAAAAATTTTGAAAATCCACAAAAAATATCATGAAATCAGCAATTCTTTCTTTTACTGTGCAAAAATAGAGTCACAATTAAAAGTTAAAATAAAAACCTTGTATATTTATATAATACTTTGCTTGTCTGTATGTCAGTATGCATCCAATAAACGACAAAACGGCTGAACTGATGGGCCCAAGTTTTGTGTTGGACCTCACATGACTCCGGGGAAGGTTTATGAATGCTCAAAATCACACAAGTTTGCGTCGAAAAGTTTTTGATTTTTTTTAAATTTTGAAAATGCGGAAAAAATATTATGAAATCCGTGAATTTGTTTGGGTTCTAGTTTTATATGATCACAAGAAAAGATCGAGCATTATATTATATTCGAGAACAAGGTAATTTGAGAATTCAACATTTTCTTTTATATTTCAATAGACTATAGTATAAAACGAATAAAATATTCGATTAGAGTTTATAGATGCCAAAAATTGTGCAAAACTTGCTGGCACAGGAACCAAAATCTACATCAATCCAATAGTTTTAAAAATATTTTGGTTGGTGATTGTCATTGCCTTTATATTTACAAACAGCCCAACAATTAAAATTTCTCCTTACCCCAAACTTATACAGGTTCAACACCAGCTAGTTTATTCTTGCGATAATTTAACTCTGTCTATCTGTCTATCTGTCTATCTGTCTATCTGTCTATCTGTCTATCTGTCTATCTGTCTATCTGTCTATCTGTCTATCTGTCTATCTGTCAGACACTAGGCACACAAGACACTAGACAGTAGTTTATTGTACGGATAGGCAGACACTAGGCACACAAGACACTAGACAGTAGTTTATTGTATGGATAGGCAGACACTAGGCACACAAGACACTAGACAGTAGTTTATTGTACGAATAGGCAGACACTAGGCACACAAGACGCTAGACAGTGTTTTATCGTACGTATAGGTTCATGTTTCAATAAAAGTTAACTGGTTTTAAATATTTGAACGAAACTGATTACTCATGCAAAAATTGTAATCTTTGTTTCTTTGCAACTTGATTTATCAAATCTGCTCCAATAGTCAAAACTCTAAGCATCAAAGGTCATGATAGCAACGTATCTAAGGTAGGGAAATCACATGTTTTGTGACGAGTAATCAGTTTCTTTACGACATTTTCTGCAATCTCAACAGAATTTTACAATATTTTATTTATTTGTGCGAGAAAGAAAACGGAATAAACGATGAAATTTGTTTCTAATTTAAATAAAAGAATAAAAGATTAAACTATAGAGGACGTGAGTCAAACTCTAATGAAACGCATCAAGTAACTTCCAGTATATATATTTCTTATAACTTATTACTAGAGGGTTCAGAACATGAGTAATTATCGATATCACACGTGTTGATGTTTCAGTACAATGCCCCGGTATCCTGTTCTATCTCATTCCGTTGAATCTTGTGGGATTTGTTTAATGCGGCCAGGCATCGTCTTCCACAAAACATCTATTTTTTTTAGAAAGATGGAGAAAAATGTTTTTGGTTCACGCTACGGAACAATAGAAGATTTTCCGCTCAGGGAAATCAGTTTAGGCTTTAAAACTATATTTATTTTTATAAAAGATTGAAACAATGCGCTTTTAAAAGATTTTTCAAAATTCTAAAACCATGAAGTGATGAAAATCTCAAATCTATCTATCCATCTACAGTAAATTTCCATCAAACCTGTGGATCAAGATAACATTGTGTGAATTATTTTAATTATTTCAGTGTACATGAAGCACAGTGCAGTGTACACAGATCCATTTCAATGAATAAGTTAACTTTCATGCTCGTAGCAAACCTATTTGGTTTATAACAACATCAAATACACAAAAAATTGCTGAAATGTCGTCTTCTAATTCTAAAGTTTGTTTTGGGTTACACAGTATCTATCTATCTATCTATCTATCTATCTATCTATCTATCTATCTATCTATCTATCTATCTATCTGAATGCTGGTTTAGTGAGAAGAGAAGACCTGTATGCAGTTTACTGTGTAAATGTATGATGGGTGCTGCTGCATTATGTCTCATCATAATAGGGTAATTTGAAAAATTTTAATTCTAGAATTTTATCAAAATTTAATATTTCATGATTTCCCAGACTTTAATACTTAATTGAAAATTAAATTGTTTAACAAATTAGTTATCTGAGCAAAATTTACTTAACAGAAGGAGAACAGAAGGAATCGAGTCTGACCCAAACTCTGATTTTATAATCCCTATATCTTTGCAATCCAATGTCGTAGGCAATAGATATTTCAATCTTTGAGTTCTGTTAGATCAATTTATATACTTTTTAAATTGTCAAAGGGTCCAACCAGCACCAGGTTGCAAAGATATATGGGACTAGGAAATTTTAGTTTTACTGGTACCACATTGTGACGTCGTCGGAGCTACTTTTGTTTAAATTTTCCGCTCAAATATGCAGAAAACAAATTAATATGGTTACACACCAATAGCTATGATAGAAAAATAAGGTTTCAGCCTTTTTTGAAATTTGAAGTAGCTATTAAACATGATTGAACAGTAACAACTTAGAGTTCTTATTGTATAGGTTCATTTTAAAACTCATGAAAAGGTTCTTTAAATTGAACTTACAAACGTACAACACAATAAATAATTAAAAAATATTATTCATTCTTTTTAACTTTAACGTCTAAACATATAATCTGGTGAAGGATATCATTTCAATTAACTTAAACCATTCAAACCTCAAAAGGATTGGGGGTGTTTATCACCTCTCTCCAGTTTTTACCCCAGGCTTTTTCTTTTACCTCTTTATTATTTATGAATCTAAGCAGTAAGCACTCAGCGAAATGTGTTTTTCTAAAAAATATTTGTTTAGTTTAATAATTATTGCCCGGGAGAGAAATTATGAAGAAAAAATGGTTTTGACACTTGTTGACATCAATGTCGATACTGGACCTAATATTGATGTAGTTCTAGCTGTGGATAATTCACAAAATCAACCTGAATATGATCAAGGGGGTTCAGAAAATCAACCTGAGTATGATCAAGGGGGTTTAGAAAATCAACCTGAATATGATCGAGGGGGTTTAGAAAATCAACCTGAATATGATCAAGGGGGGTTAGAAAATCAACCTGAGTATGATCGAGGGGGTTTAGAAAATGCCGCAGAATATGGAATTTTGTTCCCCAAGGAGACTTCAAACTCTGTTGCTAAGAAGTTTAAGAAGGTGACTATAATTAAGAATGAGAAAAACTAGTTTTTTTTTGAACAAACATTTCAGAAATCATTGTTTAAACTTTTTTAATTAAAATTTAACTCATAAAGAATTAAGTTTTTGCCACAAACTCGAACTTTCTATTCCCTATATCTTTGCAACCTGCAAGTGTATAACTTTAAAATTTAAAACTTAGAAAGTTTTAATAAATAGAACGTATAGTTTTAAATATCAAAGGTCTACGACGTAGGGTTGCAAGGATATAAGGATTAAAAAATCTTCGTTTGTGGAAAAACTCAATTCGTTTTCGCTGATTTTATGCTCTTTAATCGGTCAATGCATTTTAGATAAAACAGTAAAAAAGACAGCTCAGTAAGATAGTTGAATTAAAGACCAAAACGAGATTGAAATCAAATAGGAGAAACAGAACGCATCTTTCCCTGGTTAGTCCAGGCTGATTTTGAACATTTTTCTTGTGTTTTGGGAACCACCCCCTCATTAGAAAATAGAAATATACATTTTTATCAAAATATGATGGTTTATAAAAAAGAAAAGAAAGTTTTTGTTTTATTGACATTTATACTTTCTAAAGATTGATAATTTAATATATCATGAAACAGTTTTGTTGTCACAATAATATCTATATCAAATCCCAGATCCACCATGAAAACAAAGCATGATAAACATGACAAACATGACTTACAATTCTCTGAAAGAATCCAGTTCACCTAGATCTGGGGGAAAACACCATGTGTGACACGATCTGAACATTTATTTTTCTCTCGTTCCTTGGATTTCGTGGATTTTTAATTATATTTCCTTCTTCTAACTTTGCTGCTGAATTTTGCATCGTGAAAGGAGATATTTTTAACAATTACATCGTTCCGAGAGATTTTCAAAATGGTTGCAGAGCCCAGAGCAAATATATTTGCAATAACATGAATGCATGACAATATTCAAGGGATTTGGTCCCAGGATCATGATTAGATATCATAAACATTTTGATATTTTAATTAGCCAACATGATTTTGCACAAATAAGAACACATATTCTGCTACTGGTTGTATGTTCTACTGGTTCTATGTTCTACTGGTTACACAAATTCTGCTACTGATTCTATGTTCTACTGGTTACTCCCATTCTGCTACTGGTTCTATGTCCAACTGGTTTTATGTTTTAATGGTTCTATGTTCTACTGGTTCTATTTTTTACTGGTTCTTTGTTCTACTTGTTCTATGCTCTACTGGTTCTATGTTCTACTGGTTCTATGTTCTACTGGTTCTATGTTCTACTGTTCTATGTTCTACTGATTCTATGTTCTAATGGTTCTATGTTCTACTGTTTCTATGTTCTACTGGTTCTATGTTGTACTGGTTCAATGTTCTACTGGTTCTATGTTCTACTGCTTCTATGTTCTACTGCTTCTTTGTTATACTTTTTCCTTGTGTTTACAGTTCTATGTTCTTTCATTTCTAAATTTCATTGGTACTATGCACGTTACAGTAATGCATATTATTTGCATTTAGATGCATCAAGGCAAATTTATGCATAACACAATCAGGCCGATAGGCAAAACTCAATACTTTGTAGAAATTATCTCTATTTTCTTCCTTTACGTCGTAAATTAGGTTTAGTTAGGTTTAGTCTATAGTTAGGGTGGAATGTGGAAAATGTGTATATTCATTTGTAGAGAAAAAGTGTCACCACAGGCAAACGTTTTTTAATCTCTTTATAAAAATGAAAATGTATAGACTAGAAGATGCCTGCTCTCTCTTCTTTTGCTCTTAATTTCTCCAGAAGGACGTCCCCCTTCCCTTACCCCCATAATTCGCCTCTGAATATAGCACGCACAGTTGAATTCATAATTTTCATCTTGACAAATAAGGATATCTCATTCATCTGTGAATAGGCAAATATTTTAAACAGTACCATTGTGAGTCGGACAGGGTCCACAATAAATAGAGTTTTACTTGAAAAAAAAACGTCTAATGTCTCTTTAAGGCTGATCATTTCCGGAGTAATGATGCAATAATAAAAAGTTCATATTTTTAAGGCAGTTGTTGCAAGTGATGGTTCCCCTTGTGCGACAGTCGGATCTCAGCTCTTAGAGGAGGGAGGGACAGCTGTTGATGCAGCTGTTGCAGCGCTGTTGTGCAATGGTGTTTACAGCAGCCAAAGTATGGGCATAGGTAGGCTATGCGAGTTTTTATTGTAAATCGGGGAAAAATCAATTTTTCGTAAAATATGACAAAAAAATCTTTTATCGTCTTTTTTTAAAACCTGAAAAGTGCCATATTTTCCTTTTCTCTTACAAACTTTTTTAACGAAAAAAATTACATATTTAGCAACAGACTGATCTTCTTAACTGTCCAGCATGCAGTGAACTAATAATATACATATTTATACATATATAATTTTGAAATGTTGTTAGATTTTAATAAAATTGTATTTTAAAATATGTTGAAAATGCAAAAATTCAAAATGAACTGCAGCTAATTTTGATATTAAATACCATGGAGCATAAATTAACTATGATCCATATCTCTCACAGCTATCTATCTCACTATAAATCATATTTATTGTAAGGTAATACAATCTCCTATTTATCTCACTATATATCATATTTATTGTAAGATAATACAATCTCCTATCTATCTCACTATATATCATATTTATTGTAAGATAATACAATCTCCTATCTATCTCACTATATAT